CATGTGGCCCCCTCGAAACCATGCAACTTTTGTCTGAAACATTTTTTGATATCTCACTTTGTTTCCGAAAAATATGCCCGCGTCACTAAATGCCGCACCCTGTATATATATATATATATATAATATATAAACAGTTACACTCCCGCTCTATCATGAATGCTCGCTAAACATCATCATCGCCACGACGACGCCATCAAATGACACCGAAAACACCCGCAAACCACGGTCGGCGCGTACTCTACTCACTTGGTGTTCCAGTAAATTTTCGTCGTCACGACGTAACTGGAACGATTCCAGGCGCGCCTCAGCAGGATGCGGCCGAATTGGATTTCCGCGCGGTGGCCGCTGTGCGCCTCGCTTAGGTCAAACACATTAATCCCGCTGTCGTAGGCGAGCGCGACGACGGCCTCCGCGGTCTCCTCGCTGCCGCAGCCGCCCACGCCGAAGGTGGTCCACGTTCCTGCACCCATATAAAACCAATCAAGCGACATCGGCGACGGGATTTCACCGAGCCGTGCCGATCGAAATCGCGGCGACGAAACACGGATGTGCGTCGTTGTCTGTCCGGGCTGCGATCTAGTATCAGCACACTTAGCTTTCATCCATATATATATTTCGCAAAAGAAAGCAAGAGAGACATTCCATCCGAAGATAATAAGATGCTAGCGTGCAAGGCCGGCTCGAAAAAGTAGACTCGATGGGATTTAGTCTTCACTATCCGCGAGAAATAAATTTCTGTATTACGTAAATGTATACGGAGAAAAGATATAGTAAAAATTACGATATAATATTTTTGTAATCGTGGAAAGTATTAGCATATAAGAGAAAAATCACGATATTTTTATTCAATATATAATATTATATACGTATTATATTTTACAAAGGAGTATTATAATTATTTTGTGGCATAATCATTAACAAACAATAAAACAAATGCATAATTTATAATTTTTATAGTAATAAATATTTTAAAATTTTATATTCTAGCTCTACAATAAATATTGTAAAAGAAAATGTATTTTCATGCAATTTTTCATTCCATTCGTACTGTAAAATTTTCTTCGTGTATTATATCGAGAGATAAAGATCTTTATATAGTATAAAGATAATAATAATTAATAATTTTGTTAAAGTTTGCTATACAAGCACATTCTTGAAATAAAAATTTAAAATTTGGTAAAACTAAGCGGGTTACATATATTATATATACATGTATATGTATATATAATACATATATATAGAGTGAGTCATAAGCATGTTTTAAAACTTCGTGAGCGTAAAAAATATGAACAAATATTCCCATGAACATTAGGCCAGAAATGTATACAATATATAGACGTTAATGATAAAAATGGCTACATATATACGTAAGACGATGAAATTATAATTAAAAATACAAACTTAAATTAAATAAAAAATAAAATAAACGACAAAATAATTTTAAAAAATATAAAAATCGTAAAATTTCTACGGAAAATTTGTGCCGAAAATAAGAATTATTATTTATATTCTTGTTTAATTATTATTACATTCCTTAAAATATCTCGCGATAAAAAAAAAAAAAAAGATATTTTAACAGCAATCAAGATTTGGCACAGCTGCGTTTAGGACCGAAATACTCGCGTGCGATTAAATGTTATATTTAAGAATTCGTGATTATCGAGAAGAATATGCTCGCGTTTCATGCGAGGATATTTGTTAAAGAATTTTATTTTGTACTTATAAATTTATTTAACGGAGTACTCGTACTTACGTACATTTTCTTTTTTTACTTTGAATTTCGTATAAAAGTGTTCTATTATAATAACCATGACGTTTAACGTCTACTGTGTACCTACTCCGATCGCGGTTCGAGGGATAATGATACGACACGTTGCCTGCTCGAGCTCGAGCCTCATCGTGTGAATGTCAACAAGCACGAATGTCAACAAACATTCATCGCGTACCGATGTAATAGAATAACCACGCTATATACAGAATATTTCAGGATTAAATGCCTTAACTTAAAAATATAAATATAGGAGTTTAAAACAAGAAAAAATGTTCTTTTGTAGGTATGCCCGTAAACACTTTGTTTAAGAAATATTGACATCTAAAGTTACGGATAGGAATAATAAATTTATTGTACGACTGCTAATACGTACTTGTTTCCGTAATTGTACATGTCAACATTGACATTACAAAAACGATATATAAACACCGTATCGACATATCACTGAGAAACTTTCTCAGTTTGTTCGACGCTTTCGCGGACAAAGCATCGTTATGTCTCGCATTTATTCTAATAGTGATTATGTTAAAAATTTCATATTTTCTAGTAATAAAGTAGTTAAAACACAGTATTAATTTATTTATTATAATCTGATAATAATTTCCTAAGATTTTATAATGAAAATGTCTAGATGTCAATATCTTTTAAACAAAGCGTTTATGAGCATACCTCCAGAGGAAAATGTTTTTTTGTTTTAAGGTCCTAAATTCGTATTTTAAGTTAGGACATTTAATCTTGAAACACTCTGTATAAAACGCCACAAAATTCGGTGCTACATATATTTTTGAGAAGCGCGAAATTTACGGAAAATAGTAGTAAATATTAAACGCGATAATTGTTATGGTATTTTGATTAGCGATTATCAGTCCGCGCAATTAATTATTTCTTGCAATAACAATACGTACAATCGTCGTGGCGATGGCTATTTTAGCATATATTTCACGCAATATATCTACTTGAAATAGGAATCGAGACAATAAACAATGGAAAGTCACATAAACTGTTGTTTATATGATTCCTGCGACATTTACGAGCTATGATCACATCCGTAAATATGTTTGAAGTTACATGTTCTTTTGTAGGTATGCCCGTAAACACTTTGTTTAAGAAATATTGACATCTAAAGTTACGGGTAGGAATAATAAATTTATTGTACGACTGCGCTAATACGTACTTGTTTCCGTAATTGTACATGTCAACATTGACATTACAAAAACGATATATAAACACCGTATCGACATATCACTGAGAAACTTTCTCAGTTTGTTCGACGCTTTCGCGGACAAAGCATCGTTATGTCTCGCATTTATTCTAATAGTGATTATGTTAAAAATTTCATATTTTCTAGTAATAAAGTAGTTAAAACACAGTATTAATTTATTTATTATAATCTGATAATAATTTCCTAAGATTTTATAATGAAAATGTCTAGATGTCAATATCTTTTAAACAAAGCGTTTATGAGCATACCTCCAGAGGAAAATGTTTTTTTGTTTTAAGGTCCTAAATTCGTATTTTAAGTTAGGACATTTAATCTTGAAACACTCTGTATAAAACGCCACAAAATTCGGTGCTACATATATTTTTGAGAAGCGCGAAATTTACGGAAAATAGTAGTAAATATTAAACGCGATAATTGTTATGGTATTTTGATTAGCGATTATCAGTCCGCGCAATTAATTATTTCTTGCAATAACAATACGTACAATCGTCGTGGCGATGGCTATTTTAGCATATATTTCACGCAATATATCTACTTGAAATAGGAATCGAGACAATAAACAATGGAAAGTCACATAAACTGTTGTTTATATGATTCCTGCGACATTTACGAGCTATGATCACATCCGTAAATATGTTTGAAGTTACATTCGATTTTTCCATTCGAGTATAATTTGCCCGTTGTTTTCGGATTGGAAAAACACGCACTGTTTTCATTAACAATAAAAACAATTTATAAGCTTTACCTTCTATCAATTTCGGTTTCTATTTCAATAATAAATATATTGCGCAAAATATATCATTAACGAGCCACGATATCGCTTCTTATATATCATTTATCGTCGGAATCGCACACACTGATAATTGCTAATTTTAATAGAGTTATCGCGATTAATATCTAATAAAATACGCATCGCGTACGAGATTAACATCGGGAGTACCGTACAAAGTGTCGCGTGATCGTTTCGCTGATCTGATTATCCGAAATCGCAATTAATGCTTTAGTGATTTAGTGATTTCGCGGGTGAGTGTCAGAAAGAGAAACAGAAGAGGATTAACAAGAGAGACGGAGGAAGAGGAGAAGAAAGAGATGGAGGAGGTTGGGAGAGGGTAAGTACTTATTTAATTTGTCATTTATTATTTGTAAAATTGATTGCTTTTGTTCATCTCCGCAATAAGTCATTTTTATTATACATTCTATAAGGAATCTATCAGTAATTTTGGGGGATTTTTGACACATATAACGTTGTAATTTTTTATATAAATTTTGAGATTGTTGTTTCATAGTTTTCTTGTATTGTGTATTTGCTTCACATACACATTCAAATCTGTGCTTTTATAATAATTTCATCGTTTTATATATGCATATGTAGCCATTTCTGAAGGGGTGCTTAATATCGGGGTAAATTTTAAATTTTTGTTTTCCCAAAATATCCGTAGCTTCAACGAGATTAATATAATGACAGTAATAATATATTTGTTATATTATTATTATATGTTATATATTATGTTATTATTAAGTTGTTATTATTATATTATATATATATAAATAAAATTACTACTAAATTAAATTCAAACTAGAAAAAGTTTCATGTTGCCGATTCAATTATATAATACGTTTCTTGTGAATCCTTAAACTTGTCAAATCGAATTTCAAATAGTCTTTATTAATAAATTGCTTTAAATTCGCATTTCGAGAATATCCAGCCGGCCTTGCTGACGTAATAATAATATTGCAAAGGAAAATTGAAAGCTTATGCATTTAACAAATAACGATTAATAACGTGGAAAACAGTGAGCGAGGTGTTCGCGAAAGAATCTGTAAAACTATAGAAATTCATAAAGAAACATTGCGAGATAAAACTTATCTTTTCTCTAAATTAGCATACAGTTTTTTAAGCATGCCACAATTTCAGATATCCCTTTAAGGTTTATTATATTTGTTTTCGTATCTAATAAAATGTAAATTATATATTGACAGATACTTTAGACAAAAATTACTTTTAACGGAGAATAATACAACAGCGAAATTTTTTAAAGTTTCGAAACAGAAAAGAATTTTTTTTTTTTTAATTTGCATTGTCGTAAAAAAATAGTTGGTAACATGAAACGCTTACTAGATATCATGTACAGCGCAACGTGTGTTCTGTCTACGCAAGCTACGTGAATACCGATTCAGCCATCACACACATAAATAATCGACTATAAAAAGTATGTAGTATATGTCGCGGTCTTCCTTTCGAAGAGCGCGGTGGAAATGAAAGAAGTGTGCGTTGGCGGTAAGAGAAGTATTGCATAAATAATGAATGCGAAAACGTATTCGAATTGACAGCCACAGTCTCGGCGCGGGTTTGGGATAATAAAAATCCGATAGCCGCGTGATGTATGCATTCCAAGATCGATTTGCGACACGTGTGCGCGCCGCGGAAAGATGGTGGTTCTACACATACATATATGTATATATGTATATTTATATACGATATACAGGGTGTCCTAGACATGCACGTCCAAACTGAAAGGATGAAGTCAGCACGCCGAAAAAGGAGAGACTTTTCTATTTGGCACTTTGGTCAAATAACAAAAAAAATTTAATAAAAATAGCTATTAAAATTATATATAAAAATGTATTGCTATTTTTACCACGCGAATTCGGGTATTAAAGGCATAAAATATCTGAATTTGGTAAAAAAAGTAGCAATATCTCATTTTTATTAAATTTTGATTTTTTATTTTTGAGATTTGACCAAAGTGCCAAGTAGAAAAGTTTCTCGTTTCTTGGCGTGCGAATTCACCCCTTCAATTTGAACATGTCAGATCTGGGACACCTCGTATATATACGATATATATATATATATATATATATATATATTCAGGATAGGAATGCAACGCGCACCGG